CAACGGTAATAAAAAACCCATGGCCCCTTTTCCACACTGAGGACCGTCGCAGCTTCCTCGTGGTCAAAATTCAGGCGCTGGGCAACTGACTCAGACTTATGACGGTCACAGCGTCCTGGGGTGGGTGGGTCACGTGATCCACTTTGCCCACCTTTTGACAAGGAGGGAAGTCAGGTTCACTTAACAACGGTGTTACTAACTGAAACCTCTGAAGCCCTTAATCGCGTTGGCGAGAAAGGAGGGTGAAACGGGGCAAAACTCGCTTGGGAACAGAAATTTTGGGCTCGGTTGTGGCCGTAAGTCGAGGATTACCTGTGTTTCTGGAGCCCTCAATTCCTGCTGTGAATTAAGGACTGACGGACGCAGGGGAGGGACTGCCCTTGCTGCGCTTTTATTATTAATATTAACTATTAAATGTTTCTGAGCGTGGCAGAGTCAACCCTGTCAAATGCCTTGTGTAGAGACGGGGCATTTGAGGGGAAGGTCATCCCTGCCCCTTTGCGCTCTCCGCGGCATGGCAGAAAGGGCCTGCGAGGCCTTCCTCCTACGGGCTGGACGATGTGGACGATTCGCTCTGTGTGGAGAGGGTCTCTTTCGGGGACCCCAAGCTCCCCATCCTTGGGGGGCCCAGAACTTCAGTGCTGCAGTAGGCCGAGACGTGGCTCTGGAGGCTGTGGAGGAATACGGGATCCAGGGTGACCCGGAGGCTGAGGGCCATTTGGTCGGTCCACCAGTGCTCCGGCCCCGGGGGCCGCCGGTGCTTCAGGTTAAAGATGGGCACCGTCTGGAAATCCTGGGGCACCTCCATGCGGGGTTTCCAAGAGCGGGGGTAGAGGCTCCGTTGAAGGACCTCGTAAGGCAGATCCGGCATGGAGGAGACCCGGCCGATGTTGTCGATCTGGATCACCGGCTCCCCGAAAGGATCTTTGAAGAGGAAGAGGAAGGAGGTGAAGTCGTGCTGCGGCAGCTTCTCGGGCTCCACGCCCAGCCGGATGACTTGCGGCCGGAAGATGGACGTAGCCGGTTCCGACTCCAGGTTGGTGCTGAGATTCCAGGGCTTCTGACGCCGGAACCTGCGTTGCACGCTGAGGACCGAGTCGTCGCCCATGAGCAGGGCGCTGAGGGAGGGGATGGGGCTGGCGACCTGGCCGGCCACTTTGCGGAGGGTCAGCGAGTGGCGCTTGACGTACGACAGGCCCAGGACAGTCGGAGTGGGCAGCGGCAGGCCCTTCTTCAGCAGCCAGCTTTCGAAGGCCATCATGTTGCAGAGGTTCAGCTCCCACTGTGGGGAGAAAGGCAAAGGAGGCGGCTGACCCCTTTGGCGTAACAGCCCCCTCCCTGACATGAGATGACCCCTACCCTCTTGGCCCTCGGGCCCAGCCACCCAGAGGCATTCACTTGAGACGGCCGGCCGTAGGAGTGGAACAGAAGGAATCCCTGCAGAATCGGATGGGAGGCTGTGAGTTCTAGTTAGACGTGACAAACAGCAGGGTGTGTTTTTGGGTGGGGGGCAGTCAGGAGATAAGTCAATCATTATCATCTCTTGTTCACTGAACGTTTAACTTGGTCAACTGAACATTTAAAAGTTTATCACAAATATCATTGGTTTTTAATAACATACGTGTGTGTGTGATCGTTATTGTTATATAATTAATCAGAGTAGACCTGGAAGGGACCTCGGAGGTCTTCTAGTCCAGCCCCCTGCTCAAGCAGGAAAGCCTCTTTCATTCCAGACACATGGCTATCTAATCTCTTCTTAAAAGCCTCCGCAACTTCTGGTGGCAAGCTGTTTCGCTGGTTAATTGTCCTCACTATCATGAAATTTCAGTTTACCACAAAACCGCGGTAGACTAAAGCGCGCTCGACGAAAGCGCGTACGTGACGTCATCACAGCGCGACGAAAACAGCACGCTGTGATCGGTAAACTTAAAATTAACGCGTAAATCTAAACCTAACCCTAACCCTAAGCCTAACCCTTAACCTAACCCTAAACCTAACCCTANACTTTTATTATTTGTATTTTGTCTTTTTATGTTCCCCTTTTTTTCCCCCCTTGAATTGTTCGCCGCCCCGAGTCCTCCCGGAGAAGGGCGGCATACAAATAATAAAATACAAATACAAATACAGCCTTCCCCATTCAGTTCTCCTGCTGCTGGACTGAGCCTTGCTCTGAGTGATGGGACCCCTCCATCCCGAGGCCTCCAGAATACAGGTGTCTGCAGGTTCAGGTTCAGTTCCCTTAAAAATCAAACACTCCCAGCAGCCCCACATGGGTCCAGAAAGACGGGCAAAGTGGGTTCTGCACAGGGATGGGGGAGAGGAGGACACAGGGGGAACCCCGGGTGCAGTAGGAGGCGATGGGACCATCACGGAGGAGGGAGCAGCTGGACTTCCAAGGCATTGCTCCTCCCCCCTGTCAGCCCCTCCTCCTCCTCCTCCCCCTGGCTCAGGGAATCACCAAATATGAGCAAAGGCGAGAGGGAGAGAGAAGCCAGGCCAGAGGAGGGTGGCAGCAGCTTCCTTCCTTCCAGCTTCTGCTGAATTCCCTGGCCCCAGGAAGTGTGGGGATTCTCTGGGGGAGGGGAGGGGAGTCTTGGGGGGCACTTTGGGTGCTCAGGGGTTGGGGGGCAAGGGGGCAGCTGGGGGCGCCTTGCGCAGAGGGGCTCCAGTTAATCTATGCAGGGAAAGGGCCAGGCCACAGTGCCAGAGAGGGTGGCCTGTTTTCCAGACAGCTCTTGATCATCCGAAGGGGAAGGGGTCCCTTTGCGCACCTGAGCAGCCCATCCTGGCTCCTCCAGTAGGGCCCCACCTTGGAAGAGCCTGCGCACTGAAGGGAGGGAGGTGGCCCCACAAAGCTGCTGCTCCTGGTGAAGACGAGGCTCTGTTCCAGCACCTGGAGACTCTGGGGGGGGGGGGGGTGCCTCGCCCTTCCACCTCTGCTGCATTCTGTGGCCCACTAGCCAAGGCTGGGGGCTCCAAGGGGCAGATCTGGGTCCCTGGCTTCCATTGCTTAGGCTCTGGGGAACAGAGCCTCCCTCTTTCCCTTCTCTTGAGAGACCCCTGTCTCTGGGCCGCCTGTTGCCTTGCCCCCTGGCAGGGCCAGCCTCCCTAGTGGTGGGTCCTGTTCCTGCTGGGATATTTGGCCGCCGTAGGGGGGGGGGGTGCGCTGGCTGTCCTCCAAGTGGCTACCTTTTAGCAGCTCCTTGAGTTTCCCCGATTGGTTTCCAGCCCGACACGGGCCGGGCTTCGAAAGGCGCGTTTATTTATAGGGTGCCGAGTGCCTTCGCGGAGGCTGGGCGTTAACTACCCGCGACCACCGCCGCCGCCACCTGCGTTGCCTTCTCGGCAGGGGTCAAAGCCGGCCTTAGAAGGGAGCTCAGCAGTGGTAACCGTGGGCCCTTGACAGGTTTTGGGGCGGCTGGCCCGGCGCCCGGCGATGCTTCCCTTAAGCTCCGCTCCGCTGCTGGGCACCCTGGACGGAACGCGCTGCCTGCCAGGCCCCTCCCTGTCCCCTCCCCGGCGCCGCCGGCAGCAGCTGCTCGGGGCTTAAAGCGCTCGGAATACCTGCAGGGGCGTCGCGTCTCATCTGCCGCTGCTCATCAGGGCGCCCGGCCAAGCCCGCCCCGACGGCTCGACCCCTACCCCGAAAGCCCACGGATCTCGGAGCCCGCCCCAGCGCCCTTGGCTTCACTCACGTCGGCCGCTTTCTTCTCGGCCATCTCCAGCTTCTCCTGGGCTTCCTTGACCGCTTCGGAGTATTTCTCCACTTCATCCTCGGTTCCCTTGAGTTTTTTCTCCAGGCCCTGCTTCTCTTCCTCCAGCTAAGGTGGGGAAGAGAGAAAAAGGCGGCAGGGGGTCAGGAGATGCTGTGCCTGGGACGCCGCTGCAGAACAGCGGAGCTCAACCGGGGGGGGGGGAGCTGGGAGAGGCGGGGTCGCCCTGCATTCAGAGCCCCGGTGGGGGGGGGATCCTCTGGACCCTCGCTCCCTTGGGAGACGGGGAGGGGGACCAAGGGCGTCCCTCACTTTCCGAAGCGCACCCAGGGCCCCCAAACCCAGGGCCCCCAAACCCAGAGCCCCCAAACCCAGAGCCCCCAAACCCAGAGCCCCCAAACCCAGGGCTCCGGCGGGGTGGAATGCTGATAGGGCGTGGGGAGCCGGGACCCCCGGGACAGAGACTCCAGATGGGTCGGGTCTCCCTGGGGTAGTCGGGCCGCGGGCCAGTCACCTGCTTGCACCGGTCCTCCGCCTGTTTCTTGTCGCCCTCCGCCTGCTCGGCTCGGTCGATGGCGTTCTCCTTGTCCAGCTTCAGCATCTGCATCTTTTTCTTGATGGCTTCCATGGCGGCGGTGGCGGCTGGGAGACCGACGGAACGGACGGCTGGAGAAAGAGGAGAAGACGGGCGTCGGAGACGAGAGAGCCGAGTGGAGCCGGGAGCGGCGGGTGCTGGCTGGGCGCCCCGGACCTCCGCCGCTGCCTAAAAGCTGGGGAGGGGCCGGTCCCTCCCCCGCCGGCCAAGCAGCACCTTTTAGGGACAAGCTGGCAAACTCGGAGCGTCCTGCGGGCGGGGAGAGAAAGGCAGGCCGCCAAGGGGCAGCGCGTCTCTCCCCGTTTGGCCGTAAGCGCTTCGGCATTCCCGCTCCCCCTCCCGAGTCAGGACGGCCTGGAGGCCCCATAGGCCCCGCTGAGACAGATTTCTCTGCGGCCTGCTATATCGGGCGACCGAGCCACGGTGTCCCGCCGCTGCATCTCGTCGCAAAAGCCCCGGGAATCGGGAAGAAGGGTCACACGTGGCAGTCACTCGTGGCGGCTTAACTGAAGCCCTCAGCCAGCGCCTAGGCTGGGCTGCGGCTACCCGCATCCCCTGGCTACACAGCCGTGCCAGGGGGCCGCGCCAGAACCACCGCGGCAGACAGACAGANTTTTCGCTTTATTTTTACATTTTTCGATCACAGTCCGATGTTTTCGTCGCGCTGTGATGACGTCAAATGCGCGCTTTCGTCGAGCGCGATTTTGTACTCCGCGGTTTTGTGGTGGAACCAACCTTTGTGGCACCCAAGCAGTTTTCCCTCTAACCTGAAGCAAAAGCTTTGATCACCATGCTACAAGGATTCTTCTCCAGCCAGTCCAGCCAGGCTTAACCAGTTCATTAATCAGCATATGGGTGTGTGTGTGTGTGTGTGTGTGTGCAGCAGTGCTTTGCTGAAACCAACTTGTGTTATAACTGTACATTCCCACAAGGAAATGACACGATCAAACGCCGAATAAGAGCGGCAAGGTTTCTCCTGGAAATCCACGGTGGTTTTTTGTTGATTACCACATCAGGATACTTATGGATTCAGCCTTTTCATGAACTGCTGTCCCTTTGCGCACCTCAGCGGCCCATCCTGGCTCCTCCAGTGGGGCCCACCTTGGTGGTCTTCCAAGGCCCAGATATCAGAAAGCTTCATCTGTTGTTTATTGTTGCTCCAACCCCATTTGTTTGAGGGCAGAGCTGCTATTTGTGTTTCTCCAGGCCTCTTGGATTCTCTCCTCCACCTGGCTGGTGTTTCTCTTGTCTCAGGCTTCGTTCCCGCCCTTCGGGCCATCTCTCAAAAACGTCTGATGGGAAACCCTTGGGGGTGGGGTGGGGGCGGAGAAGAGTGGGGCTGAAAGTGGGTTTCTTTCTTCCTTGAGCAGCTGCAGGACTGTCTCTTTTGATTTCGGATACAACGAAAGCCCTTTTCATGAGCATCTTCTGCTAAACTCTTCCAAGAGATTTTGCTTTCTTTGATGCCAGCCAACAATTGAACGCTGCTCCGTCTGTTCTCTCCCTTTGTGACCCGAGTCTCTTTTCATTTGAGTTGTTTTTTTTTCAGGCCTTGATTACTCTCTCTGTGTAATCCCACTGGCTCTTGAAGCGTCTTCTGCTTTTTGTCCTCTCCCGAATTGCTTGGTGTTCTGCTTTTCTTCAGAAACTTCTCCACCAATCCTGAGCAGCACTGGTTACCGATCAGTCTCCGGATACGCTTCAAGGCGCTAGTCGTCACTTATAAAGCCCTTCATGGTATTGGATCTGGGTACTTGAGAGACCNACTGTGGGGGCAATATGCTGACTCTGTAAACCGCTTAGAGAGGGCTGAAAGCCCTATGAAGTGGTATATAAGTCTAACTGCTATTGCTATTGCTAACACTTCCAGGATCCTTCCAGGAAATGTTGTGATGGGTGTGGGTCCGGGCTTGCTCATCTTTGCACACGTTCAATTTTGTAATAGATGAACTATTGCTTTAGAAACGTGTTTTTCAACCTTGGTGACTTTTAAGGTATGTGGACTGCAACTCCCAGCATTCCCCAGCCAACTGTGTTGCCAAGATTGGGAAGAAGAGAAGCCAATTTCCCTTCCTCCTGCCCTTCCCTCAGCCCAGCCACGCTCCATAAACAAAGACACATTCATCTGGGTGGAAGGTCAAGATGGCTCCTTTTATTGCTATGTTCCATGACAGAGCGAGCATACCCCCCCCACACGCATACATACTGTACACAGAAAATAATTACAGACAATATATATATATAACCCGCACTTGATTACAGAGGAATGGGATTTGAAGAATTTTTGCAATATGCCTGGCACTGAGCTAATACTGGCAATTGGGATTAAAGCTGCAATGTTGGAAGACCGGGACACAAGGTGTGCGTGTGTGCGTGTGCGTGCATGCATGTACGCGCCCTGATGTGTGTGTCTGTGATGAATGTCATCTCCCAGAGCATAGTTGGCCTTGAGCAGAGGCTGAATGATTTGCCATTTCTCCCTCCGCTTGCAAAATGGAAAACGGGGTATGGCATTGGCAAGGGCTGGGGAGTGCTTGAATGGCAGCAGCCGATGGTTCTGGAAATCCTTTGCTTTGGACCAGACTATGGGGCAGGTCTCACACTTTTGCACACGGATGCTGGTGGAAGTGGTCAGTTTTATTTTACTCCCGGAACTCATATTCATTGAGTGTCTTTCATTGGAATGCTCTAATGCTGTTTCATTGCTTCTATCCACATTTAAGATTCGACAGTAATGGATTCTTGGTTACATTTCCCAGCCCTGGCTGGCAAATTAATACAAGGAAGATGAAAAGGGTGTAAAAAAAAAATCTGTACCAAGATGGATCTGTGTCAGAACAGTAGGGCAGGAATTTCCCAGGCAAAAGCAACAAACAGAAGACTACCGAAGACTGACCGAGACCTGTAAATTCCTTGTCAATTGTTAGTTGAAGAAGGCAACTAAGAGTATCATCTCATCAGGGTTTGTTTTGCTCTGGGACAAAACCTCCATGGCCTTATTTTGGCAAACTGTCAGTAGCCAATGGCCTTCAACAAACCAATGGAAATCTTGTTGGCTTCCAGTTCTCTATCAGTAGCATAACCTAGGACAGTGGTCTCCAACCTTGGCAACTTTAAGATCTGTGGACTTCAACTCCCAGAATTCCTCAGCCAGCTTTGCTTCAACTTCAACTCTGGGAGTTGAAGTTGAAGTTGAGTTGAACTCAACTCTGGGAGTTGAAGTCCACAGATCTTAAAGTTGCCAAGGTTGGAGACCACTGACCTAGGACACCATTCTGATTTGTGGCTTGGGTGTTTGGGATGAGGCGTGGGAACTGACTGCCCCAGAGGGTGAGAAGGCCTGGCAGTGCTACTTAAGGAGGCAAATGTGGGGAAGAGGTGAGGGAGGAGGAAAGGGCTGGTTAAAGGTGTGAGCGAAAAATCTGAGCCTCACAATCTAGAGCCTCACTGCTAACACAGCTGGATGGAGAGATGATAAAATGAAGCAGGAAAAGGTGATGGTGGAAGAAACCCTGCAATGAAGTTAAAAGCTTTCTGGGCAGGCACAGGTCAAAATCATCAAGCAGCAGCTATCGCTTTCCTCTTCCTGCTTCCCACCCTCCTTTCCTAAAAACTCTTAGTCACTGAGTAGGCAGTAAAGGCGTTAGAAAGGGCAAAGATTTGTGAACTATGGCACTTGGCAATCTCTGCCATCGAGCTGACACATCTACAATGGGAATAGAGTCTGCGGGGCATAAATATCCAAGGAAGAAGTTAAGGTGTGGACAGCTGCCCTTGGACACTGATGATGATGATGATTATTATTATTTCTGTCGAGGCAACATGGCCTCCTCACCTGGTGGCCATTTCATGGGTTTTCCTATAGTTTCTTTCCTGCAGAGCCCCTTCGTTAATTAATGTTTTCTTTAGCCCAATGTGCCTGCTTGTGGTCATCAATATTTTAAAAATGTTTTTGGTGTGTTTTAAGGGCGAAGGCAAATTCTCGAAAAGAAAGAAGACAGTAGCTCTTGTGTGCAAAAGGATGAAAGGGGGCCTTTGTTACTGAGGAGTAGCCACAAGCAGGAGGAGGAATAGCCCTGCAAAGGTTAACTTCAGGGAGGGATGTGAAGCTGCGGCTGAAAACAACACGCTCCCTAAAGGGGATTTTAGTTACTGTGTTCTGCATCAGTAGGAAATGGAAGAAAAACATACTGAAAGATGGCCTTTCAGTCTTAATACTGAGTCACAAATTTATTTTTGCTTGCAAGGTAATGCGGTTCCCAAAAAATGACACCTATATGGAGATCTTGGTAATATGCACGCTAACAGTTAAACTGAATAAATCAAAAGAGTCAGGGATCTGTTGGAAGCAGCTGGAAGAAATGTGGGCAAGAACTCCAATGAAAATGCCCATTTTCCCCGAAGAGATAAACTGAGGAAGAATTCAGATGGAACATTAGCTGCATACAGCCAAAAATGACCAAAGCAGCATAAAAACCTCTACAATGCATTTTTTTTAAAAAAGAAAACAACGTGAAACGCTTGCAGATTGTCATATTTAACAACTGCACGTGGACACTCTGAACCGAGCATTATGAAAAATAGGTTTGTTTATTAGGTATGATGCTGTATTGGCATCTTGCATAGTGTTTCTGACTTGCAAATAAACATAATTAATTTAAGGAGTTCTGCTGAATTTGATCTGGTATCCATGCAACCCGAGGATTTTGTTTGTAGTGGCAACCAGCTCTGAAGCTTTCAAGGGATTCACAAATCAAGCAAGAGAGTCTCTCTCTCTCCCCCTCCCACACCATAGGTTTTCCACAGCAGCTGATGTTCAAAGGTACACAATAACTGGCTATGGAGGCTCTATTTAGCTTTTCAGGCAGGCATTTTGTCATGCCTGGCTTGGTGATTGACAGTTGTTCTGTGAAGCAGCAGTTAAACACGTCAGAAGCCTTAAAACCGACCACACCAGAAAACAGTATTAGGTACAGACAATACAAATTACATGCAGCAGATGAAATGAATCACATAATTCTTAGTTAATGCAGATCAGTTCAACCCTCCCTCTGCCAGATCTTGCTCGTTTCCCCCCCAAATCGCTGCTTATTGGTTACATGATCATCCTACACACTAATCCTAAAATTTCAAAAACATCCAGTTCCCTATTTCATGAGGTTG